CTTTAATTAACGTACCAAGTTGTTACTGCTAATACTACACATACTTTTACCACTATCACTGACATTGTAGCTATCTTATTTATTGTTGTTGCTGCTCAGTTTGTCCCTCTCCCTCTGCCCGACCTTTTGAGTCTGGTTCTGCTCAGAATTTCTGCCTCTTAAAGAAAGTTGTTGTTTGCCACTCTACCTTTGCTAAATGTTAGATTTAGTCTGTCTATGTTTTCTTTTCTTTTCTTTCCTTCTGTTTTTTTTTTTTTCTTTTTACTGTTATTATTTTTACTGCCATTTTTTTATTTATTATATTTTTCTGGGGTTGGGGGAGGGGGAGGCAGACCATTTCAGTTTCACAATGTATACCTTGTTCTGCTCAATGGAACTCATGTAATCATTTTCCTGCCAACCCATATTGAAAAATATCCAACAAATATTTGATCACAAAAAAAGCCTATGCTAATTGTTGCTTAGTGCTCATGGATTTATGTTGGGTCTTTGTAGATAATATAGCAAAGAGTGGGGTCTTTTACCTGCTCTTCAGATCACATCTGTTATGAAGTGGCTCTATACAAAAAAAAGATTGATTGATTGATACTAGCAGTACTTTTACTCCTGAGCAGGTATTAGGGGTGCAAACGAGTACTCGGGTACCCGAATAAAATAATAATCGGTTACAAAAAAAATGTAATCGATAATTGTTTTGTAGTCCACATTTTTGTAAATGTTTCTTGTTGCATTGTGGGTTCTAGGACAGGCCTAATTCAAAACAGAGCAAAAGGAGCACACTCAAACAGAAATAAAACTTCAGGAGCGCAAAAAGAAAATAGATGACAAAGCGCTGATAAAGGCTCTGTGCTGAAACGTGTCCGTTGTTGAGCCGTACGCTGCTACCCTAACAAAAATATCCCTTTAATTAACCCCCCTATGAATTCACAATGAACTAAAAGTCCCAAACAAACAAAATATGCAATATGATCTACGAAAGCTCAGTTCAAATTGTCTTTTTAGTCCACAGAAAAAGAAGGACTTTCACTTTGCGATTACCGCTTTACTCCGCTAAACCAATGACGTTTGATCATCCAGGACAGAGCAGCATAACTAGATGTTTTCCTATATTTTGGAATTTTAGATGATTATTCTTTTAATAACTACAAAAAGGAACAATCTTAAAGGGAGAAATAGCTCATGACGAACGAGATTGAGCGAGTGTGTCATTGCGCACAGAGGAGAAAGATGAAACAGACAGACACTTAAATTGTTCACCTGTTCTATTGTGACTTCATTTACCAGAGTAAAGTGTGCTCTACACTGCAGACTGTAGTCTTTGTTAACAGAATGTTGCTGTCAAAACAGCTTCAGCGTGCGATGAGTGTGCATTGATGTCTGATGTCCGCTCGCCACACTGCTCTAATTATAATGAAGTGTTAAAACGGTCAGAAGATACGTCTGTGTCAAGTTTTATTTGAGGTTTGCGGTCTGTTGAAGTAAGAAATGTCATATTTGAATGTTAATACAAAGGCATCTTACTAACAATTATTAAAATCCCGAAGATTCAAATTAATCAATAGATACAGTCGGCATCGTGTCATAGTTGGGGGCGGGGCCTCCCGCGGGGGAAAAGAATCACAGAAAAAAAACAAACTACAAAACGATTACTCGAGTACTCGCTTTAACAACGGGAAGAGTAATCCATTAGAGAAAAATTTGCATTTCTGCACCCCTAGCAGGTATGGTAACTTGAGTGTATCTGCTCTTGTTTTCTGAATCTGTTTAAATGAGGACTGAGAATAAACCATGAATTTAAAATGAACTGTGAAGTTGACTGATAGTAACCTCTGTGGATTTGTCCCCGCAAGCAAGATCCTACATTACAAAGACTCATTTAATACCGTGTTGAAAACATTGTCAGATAGAACAGTATGTTTACATCTTCATCCTGGTCATGTGAGAGCGGTGCAGCATCAGATTAAATACACTCTCTGCTCTCTGAGTGATTTTGTAAAACAGCAAATTGAATTTGTGTGGTTGTTTTTCCTGTACTGCGTCTGTTGTTTATCTCCGAGTAGAACAGGAGGACTAATCAACTGTTCTTCTCATACACCCCGTGATGATCCATAGTAATGGCAGCGCTGCACCATGGGTATTGTGTTTACTGTTGATAAACAGATCAGATACGAAGAGATGGAGAAAGAGTGACAGAGAGGGAAGGGAGGGAAACAAAAGGGATAGGATGAAGAGTGAGCAATACTGGTGCAATAACTGCTGCTTACACCTTGTTTATTTAACACAGTTGGTCATAGAAAGTTCATTTTCCTTTTTACATTCTGAAATGCAGCGAAACCAATCTGCTTCATTATGGTCATAATATGTACACAAACTCACCTCATGTCATGTTAGACTGTTATCGTCTAATAATTAATATAAAACTTAAGAACTTCTGGTAGATCGAAGGAAAAAAAGGGACTCGTTACAGATTGAAAAAAGTAAATGAAAACCACTCGAGTAAAAAGTAGAACAGGAACAGGTGAAATGTTAGATGTCACAAGGTGAATGTTACTTTAGACCAGTGGTACTCAGCCTTGTTAGACTTAAGAGCCACATTGACCAAAAACCACAATTAAAAAAACACTTTATTTCCTAAAATATGTGTGGGAAACACAGTGACACGACTTGCAAAGAATAATTTCAGCTGACAATGTTTCCATTTAAAAGAAAATTACTTTGGATTTTTTTCTCCATGTAGGACCTAAAAGAGCCACAGCTAGTCCCAAATGAGCCACATGTGGCTGGAGAGCCTCAGGTTGAGTATCACTGCTTTAGACTGTACAGTGTCGTTCTCTTCCATCACTGTGACTACAGGGAGATGCTGCGTATAGGCTGACCTACGGTGGTACTAAAGGGACAAAATAACATACTTTTAATGCAATAAAACAACATTTTTAATTTGCACCTTAATCACATCAGGATGAATGCATTAATGCTGACAGCCTTCATTTCTATTAATCTCTTTTGTTAAAATTGTAAACTGATGGTTACAAAAAATGCAACCAAGGGGAAACACTTTTCAATAACATTTGTTCTGCGAGTAGCAGAAAGGAAAGCAGTCAGCATCACCGAGGACCCTTCTCATCCCCTTCACCACTCCTTCCAGCTGCGCCCCTCAGGCGGTCGTTTCAGAGTACCATTAGCCAAAAAAGAAAACTTACAGAAACTATTTTATTCCCACTGCAATCCGCATTTTAAACACGGCTAGATAATGTTTTCATGTTACTGAGCCTCAACAAAAGGTAATTTTCTGTTACTGGTAATTGAATCTTGAAATATAGTAAAAAATGAAAGAGTATTGTTTGATAGTAATTGACTCTGTTTTTGTTCTTTATTAATCCTTTTGGGGGCAAGGAAACAATTTTTACATAGAGGTCCCCAGGGGTAATTTATTTGGTACATTATAAATAATCCAGAACCAAAATGGACCTCAGAAAAATGTTGGCAGGGTGTGACTGACGGGCAAAAATAAATGTTGGAAGTGACAGTACTGTGATGAGTGCTGACCCAATTCGAGCGTGGGTCAACATGAACATAAGGTCTTCCTACTTTAAAAAAGTAATCAAGGTTTTGGGGGTAGAATCACTGACCTTATTCCTGTTTACGATGTAGTGTGTTTGCCTTTCAGCTCCGTTAACCCATTATGTGTAAGAGTGTGTTTACATCTGCAGAGCAACATTACAAGCCTCTGTATTCAGGGATCCCATCTAAATAGCCCATAGCTGCTACATGTATAGTTTCCTCACTCACTGATGTCCTCAGATAATTTGAAGCAGTTATCATTTCATGCCCAACACTGCGTGATGTATGACTGCTCTGTCTGCAGTCTACTGGCCCACATAGGCTCTTGTTGTGTCTGCTGAGCAGGCTGCTGTCCCACATTCACTCTGCTTTCCATTCACTGAGCGACGAACACATCCAACAGCAGCGACGTTAATGGATATGTAATGTCACAGTGGGCAGCTATATCCCAGAAGTGCCCCAGATACTGAATGGGGAGTTCTTTTTAAAGCCAGCGATGCTGAGTAGAAATCATTTCATGAATGTTTGATTGTGGTTCTGTTTTTAGTTTTTAGGGGATTGTTTTCTTTCATTCTTTTTTGTGAGTCAACGCTAGGGTTGAAGTGTTTGAATCCAGTCTTGGTCTCAAGACTCAAGTCTCAAGACCACTTTTTGAAGGTCTCAGTCTCGTGTTGGAATGGAAAGCGTTTTTACTTGGTCTTGTCTCGGACTAGGCGGACTCTGGATTTTAAATGAAGACCGGTCAAGACCACCACTGATATGCTATTTTCCAAGTCATTACTGTGATTAAAAGGCAAACGCCCCTTTCTAAAAAACTAATAACTTCAATGCATTTGTAGTTTGATTGTTATTCCCTGTTCTTACGGTCTAAGTGAGTGACACGCCTGCTGCACACAAGTTGATATGTTCTTGTCTCGATCTCTCCCTGCCTTGGTATTGACTCGGGCTTGATCCCTAAATGTCTCGGTCTTATCTCATTCTCAGGCACTCCAGTCTCAAATATAAATTGGTCTTGGTAAGCATGGTCTTGACTACAACACTAGTCAACGCTGTAAAACACAGCTGCACTATCTGACCTCTGAAGTCCTGAAAAGATTTGGCTGTTGAAGGAAGTTCTTTTCCTATTTCAAAGCAATTAACTGAACTACCTGCTCATCAGTTATTAAAAATGTGTATGACATCCCTGCTACCTACTCCAACAGGAATTTGACATTATAAACTTTAATCTTATCCTGAAATGAAGGTAGAAATAGAACGATGAATCCTCCCCAGATTGAGGATTTGGGTTCTCATTTATTAAAGACGTTTTTGTCTGGTTTCATCGCTGTTATAAAATGGAATTGAAATTCAGGTCAGTCTGTTCCGATGATCGGATGAATGCATTTAACTCTAATACCCCTCTTGGCATTATGAGAATGAAGTCACGCAGTGCACGTAACATGGATGCAGATTCCTTTTTAATTCCAAAATATAAGGGGGGGTGGGGGTTACATTAATCTGGATCACAGTTACATTAAATATATCAGGGGGGGGCAGATATGTTTTTTTCCAGCCATTAGTTGTATGGTCAACAGAATGGCCTGTTACAGTACTCATGCAATAAGGAAAATATTCATCCCACCTGAAATACTCGGGATGTCTTTTCGCTCAGATATTCAAAAAGGGAGTGCAAATGCTGAGGGAGCAAACACATTAGTCATGTTATTGACTTTTTCTGCATTTAGGGTTTTCTTTTTTGCAGTCATTTTCACAACATAGCATACAAATCAAAGAATATCTAAAAAGTTATTCAGAGTATTGCGTCATGCTGAAAATATAGAATAATTTGCACAACATAATTTTCAATCCAGGACAGATTGTTATGTGAGGGGTCTGGCTGTAGCTTTCAGTTCACTTAGCACCGGGGTTAGGAGAGCCATTCGGAATATCCAGGTTAATGAAGCATCGCTGAAGTTATTTTTAGCACATTAGTTATGCAAGCCGCTGAATATTTTTCCGAATTATCTTGCTTTCCAATTCAGTCATGGTGTCATTTTGTCAAACTTTTTAAGGTTTATTTTGGAGCTTTTTATGCATTTATTGTAGAGATAGGACGGTGGGTAGAGAGAGAGAGAGAATGGGAACGACATGCAGAAAAGGAGCCACAGGCTGGAAATCAAACCTGGTCCCCCCGCTTGGAGGTCTTTGCCTCCATACATGGGGCATGTGCACTAATCGCTAGACTAAAAGCGCCCCTGCCAAACTTTTCCAAATTCATTATTTATTTTTAGTTCAAAGAATCCAATTATTTGATGCTTCTTTGGTTCAAGGAAGTATCTCAAGGGATGTGTTTCAAATCAAACCTTTATAGAAAAGATACAAACGATTAGAAGTAACGGTTTCCCTGCCGTCAATGTTTGCTCCAATGGGTTGTTCTCCATACACCATTCACAAGAAGCTAAACAGGAATGGTAGCAAATTTCCACTTCCTGAACTGAGTGACCTGAAAGCAAATCAACGTAACCCCTTTAAATATACTCCACATTTATTATCACATAGAATACCTGCTAAGAATGTACGACACACAGGATTATGTAGCTATATCAAGTGCAATATAGTTTGGCACAGTTTCAGATATTAAGTGGTCACTCACTTTAATTGTTCGTTGTAAACACACAAACTACCACAAAAGGTCTATTCACCTGCATTCGACAGTGTCTAGTTCACAAAGAATCCAAGAGGAGCAAAGGTAGTGCTGGGCAATAAAAAAAAAAACCCTGATATATTTTAAAATATTTATTTCAGGAGATGGAATGATGTCCACTCGGTTCTTGAAATCACAGTTTTCTACAAGCAGTGAATGTGTGGAACCTCAATAAATCAGACACCTTTATTATAAAGAGTTAACGCTAACGTTACCAAGCAAACCTGAGCATAAAGGAAGAATGTGGAACATTTTACACATAAATACAGCAGAACTCAAGTATATTGTATGTAAATATCTCTAAGTCATGACTGTCTACACTGAGTGAGAAGCTCGAGTCCTGCAAGTATTGTTGTTTGGAGCTGTGTTTACATCATATAAAGCTGTTTTAGTCAAGGACTAGAGAAAAGAAGAAGAACATAATCACTGCTTATTTGGAGGTCACGTAAGTGTCTTTAGAGCACAGTGTATTCAGTGTCAATTTATGTGCAATATGAAGCTATGAGTTAACCAAAGTGTGCTAACATTAGCCTGCTAACACAACACAGGCAACCCAGCTCGAGCAAAGGACAATTTTGTCCGCCGCTTGGGCTTAATGGAGCTTAATTATGATGCGTTCAAATTCATAACTAGAGTTAAGAGAGGGATTGGAGCTGCGCCGCTGGATGAGAGCGGAGGCTTCAGAATAGCGGAGGTGTCGCCAAATAACGCTTTGTTTTAGTTTAATGCTGGTGCTCAAGGGCGACATCTACTGGATCAAAATGTTGCACATTCTTCCTTTAAGTCTTGTCTGCTTTTTTTGTTCTTTATAAGACATCACTTATTAAGAACTAGCCAAAAGCGCCCAACAGGAGCTTTAAGGAAACCTTGAAGACTTCAGCTACGTTGCCAAATGTCATCTCTTCTTGCTCTATTTTTGAAGTGGAAATTTTCATTTTGACAGTTTTTAATAACAAATCACCCAGCACTACATTGGACCTAAAACAGTTAGCTTATTCTCATCAAATCTCCTTCTCTGTACCTTACAGTACAGTCCACTCAGACACGTCTTTACTGCAGGGGGTCGCATGCATGGAGCTGGTGTAAACAAAGAAAACAGTCAAGCAACGTCGCTCCATCCTTGCAGGTTCACAGTATTCAGAGATGAAAGGGTAAATTAATCATTTACAGTGTAGGTCCAGTTTTCAGTCCTCTGTGGTCTGTCTCACATTTCGTCAAACAGACCTTCGCTGGCTCTGCGCGTGCGCCCTCTTTACCATATCCTGGTACATCTTGGACCTGAGAAATCGTGGGTAGGAGTCTTTCTCCATGAGGCTGTAGACTTTAGCTTGGACTTCATTGAGGCTGGTTGGGGACGGATCTTCCAGGCTTTGCTTTGTCTTTTCTCTGGTGCGGTAGTCAATGTTTACCTGCATGGATAGAGACAGCAAACATTCCCATTAACCCATGTGTGACACTGAGCTACTCTGAAGCCATTCACACTTGTCTGTTTAGGTGCCTGGATCTTTGTTCAAATCCAGAAGATATTTTAGCAAATTGAATTCACAGCAGTATGACTAATACTTACAGCGATCAATCTCCTAACACTGAGTGCTATTATGGAGAAGTGACATGTCGAAGAATACTCAGTCTCTACTCTTTGTTCTCAAAAAAAAGTAGGTCAAGGTAATAAAACCTGAGGTAACTTCTCTCAAAATGTAGACTAAGAAGATGTATGTGTCTCTTCATCCAGTCGTAGGTGTTAGGGCCCAATATGGGATTCTTTGGGACTGATACCAATACTGAAGATATGGAGAGAAAAACTGATAAATTAGCCGATATATTTCTTAGATCTATCATCATTCTGTAGAGATAGATAGATAGATAGATAGATAGACAGATAGATAGATAGATAGATATTTAGATAAAGATACACACATTCATTGCAATTATCCCTCAAATGCATATATAAAACATGTGTGGAAAACACACATACAGGATAAGATGGGCACTCAACTGGAGAGTAACTGCAGATGTACGTGCGTCACCGTTTGACACCCTGGAGAGTGATGATGCATGTTGTGATTAATAGCAAAGTCTGCTAGTGACAGCCAGAAAGAAAACTACTGGTGTAATACAATGTAACTCAAATTTAATCATATTCGACTGGTAAATAAATCTAGAAATATCTGAGAGGTAAAATTAGCGGATGACCTTCGTTCACATGATATGTTAACATTGGCCGATATTATCTGTTTGCCGATTAATCGGTCAGGCTTTAAAGGTGCTGTTGTTTGATTAGCGCACATTGCGATCATGTTATCCATTCAGACAAACATCTACACCTCAAATTAAAGAATGGAGAATATCGTTCAATATCAATACATTATAGATCAATAACACTGACGAACACAACATTACATTCTCCAAGTAGTTCTGACCATTTAGTCATATAAACTCAACTAAGAAAATACTCATTTTGTTCATGTGAAACGGCAGCTCATTGGTTGGTTTAGTAGAAGACACTTGTTGACAGTGCAGGGAAACTGACAGAATCAGTCCTCCCCGTTTCATCATCATTGTTACAGTTGCAAACGTTATTATTAGACTGATCAGTCTACTATCATACTTAGCTGTTACTGCTATTAATTATTTAAATCTATCTTATTTATGTCGTTGTTGCTCTCTGTTTGTCTCTATCCTTATCCTTCTATCCCACTTATCAAGCCCATCAGAGTCTGTTCATCATGAGTCTGGTTCCGCTCGAGGTTTCTGCCTCTTAAAGGAAGTCTTTTCTTGCCACTCTAACTTTTTTAAAAGTTGCTTAGTGCTCATGATGAATTCATGTTGGGTCTTAGAAATAATATAACAAAGACTGAGGTCTTTTACCAGCTCTTTGTAAAGTGTCTCGAGATAACATTTGTTATGAATTGGCGCTATATAAATACAGATTGATTGAATATGTGGAGAATTGGTCGAATAATAAAGCTTTATTTGTGTTGAAATGTTACCAAATTTAAGGTCAATGCTAAAAGAAACAATAAATGAGATGCAGAATATGAATAAATGACAAAATGGCCCTATAGCATAATTAAGAGACGAGGTCACACCTCTCGTGGTGCCTGGATATCAATGAACTCCTTGAAGATCTTGTTTGCTCTCGACACGAGTTTGGTCGAGCTCTTGACCTTTTTGTACTCTTCGCAGGCCATCCAAAACTCGATATTCTCGTCACTGAACTCCGACTTGAGAAACGTCCGGAAAGCGGCCAGACCATCTGCGAAGGACACATGAATCAGTGCGTAAAGGGAGGAGGTAAAGACAACAACAACAACAAAAAAGCACAGCAAAACATGATTGATACTGCAGTGTGGCACCTATTTCCGTATACAGCAGATGAGAACTCCCCCTTCTGTTTTTTTTCTCCATCATGTGACATTCAACAATGTCCTTCATCCGTTGTTGATGTTTTTCTAGTGCATACACGCACTTGTTCCCAGAAGCGGGAAACGGCGCTCTTGATCAGAACACACAAACAAATAAGGAGAAAATACTCCCACAGAGAAATTTTTTTTGATTATGTCTTCATCAGTCAAGATAAGTGATCAATTTATGTGCTCCCCTTTCACAGTATCACAGAGGAAACTGATGTTTTTCTTACAGTCTGGGTCATGTTGACATGTCATGTTCACCCCTCTTTTTTTTTCCTGCTGTTTACCCAATAAGCTGGACTGAGAGGAAAGGATGCTCCATCTGTTCATATTCAATTAGCTGCTGACACAGACCCGGATACACACCTCTAATGAGCGAGTGTTCATGCAGGTTTTTTTGGGCTTCATACAGAGAAACACTCTGACTTATGTCATCATGTTTTAGGGTCAGCGGCTCAAACACAGACACCCAAAGGCGACAGGGAACCTTCAAGCTTTTTAAGCGCTGCCTACTTCCTTTTGGAACTTTTTGGAAAGCACATCAAAAATGGGTTTTTCCCCCTTCATAATCTATAACATGATCTATCACATTTCCAACGGTCACAGAGAGCGAAAGACATTGGAAAGAATGCAAACCTCTTTACAGTTGTTTTTTTAACTTCAGTTGCATAATTTCTTGCAACTGAAAACTGCGTCAAACTTTGAAAAGGAGACAGTCATGGACACAACAGTTTAAAAGCCCTTTATCTATTAGGTCAAGCGTGATAACTTTGTGATAAGTGTTCTTTGATCGTGTAGTAAAAAGGACCTTCTGAGAAATACATAACTGATCAGAACCTTCTTTGTTTTTTCATTTCAGGACCGCAGTTACAACACAGCATTTACATATCAGTTGATATAGAAAACCTCTTAAAGAGGACATATTATCCCCCTTTTCCACCTTTTCAAACAGTCCCTTGTCATCTAAATGAAACATCTGTGCTGTGCTTTGGTCAAAATATAACATGAATCAAGCACTAAAGGCGGTTTGTGACCTTGTATGAACCAGCTCTCTCAGAACTAGTGATGTGTCGGTCATGAACGATTCGTTCAAAACGAACGAATCACCTGGGTGAACGAACTGAACTGAATCACTGACTGAAAAGAGTCGTTCATTTCTCAACTTCAGTTGCGCTCTCCTCTCTCCCGTCTCGCGTCTCTCTCTCCAGACTGTAAGAGTCGCTCAAAGTCCGTCCTCCCTCTCCTTTCATGTCAGTGATACGTACTGACTGAACCAACAGGACTGAGTCGGTCGGGAGCTCTGTGTCGCTAAAGCCCGCCCCTACTTCTCCCTCTCATGTCTCCAAAATTGAGGAAGTAGAAAATATAATATTTAACATTTAGGTGTCGCGAAAATGTTTGTGCTTTTTATAGCTGCTGCCAGTTTACAAACGGCTTTTATATCCAACTTAATTTCACTCAGCTGACTGTTTTAACATCTACTAACGATCGTGTTTCAGTCAGTACAGTGTGTGTGTGTGTGTGTGTGTGCGTGCGTGCGTGCGTGCGTGCGTGCGTGCGCGCGCGTGTGTGTGTGTGTGTGACTGAGGCTGGTGACTCGCAGTCTCGCTCGTTCACGTTCATGTTCACTGAACGAACTGAACGAGCGCTCCGACGTGAATCACTGAACGAACTGAGAGGAAAAGCGGAGCTCTTGTTCAGTTTGTTCAGTGAACGAACTGAACAAGAGCTCCGCGTCCGAGTCACTCTCTTCCTTTCAGTCAGACAGTCAGTGAGTGATTTGTGTACTGAACGTACTGAACAGAACGGTCGGGGAAAATAAATGTGATTGTTTTAGCAGCTTTCAGTTTGCAAACTGTAACTTTATCCAACTAAATTCTCAGCTCATTGGCTTATTATTCACCACCGGCTGTTCTCAGTACGATTGCGAGCAGAACTAAACATTCGGCCGTGTTTCAGCTTATTAAATTCTGATTCACAGACAGAGCTGCAGAGAAGTACTGAACGATTCGGTGAACGAATCTTTTGAACGAATCACTTTACTAAACTGATTCTACTGATTCATTACACTGAAAAGAACTGCTTTTCACATCACTACTCAGAACGCTCTGTTTTGCTTTGTGTGTCTCTTTAAATGCAATGAGCCTCCCTTGGGAGTGGAGAGCAAATCTGAAACAGAGCATTTCTCTCAGTGTTGTAAGACTTATGCAGACCACACACATTTTGTGGGTCAGTAGACACTCAGGTTACCCAAATATATGTTCAAAAACACTGTCAAAGTGGATTTTTCTTAAAATGACCCCTTTAAGACAGAATCCCCCAAGAGGGCAATAAACATATCCTAGTTTGCTTATCTTACTGATGAAGGAACTACATCCTTTTAATAATAAGATAACTTTATGTATAAAGCACCTTTAAAAACAGATGTTTACAAAGTGTGTGACAGACAAAGAGAAGGTATGAACGCAGGACAACACCAGAGCAGATGTCAACAGTCAGGCCAAACAGAGTACACAAAGAATAGAAATGCAAATTACAGGAAAAAGAAGAAACAACAGGCAGTTAAAGCAATCAAGCAATACAATTAAGGAACATTAAATAAAAGATCAAAAGTTAACAAGATGATGACATTAGTACAGGATTAAAGAAGAAGAGGGCGATGACATGACATCACAGGCACTTATAACACAATAAAGATAAAAAGAGAGACAGTTAAATACAAATATAAAAGCAAGACAGGACAGAAGAGTCAAACATTAAGAGCAGGCGTAGGAAAGGATGGATTAATAAAGGTATTTAGAAAATGGTGATGTGACTTGAAAGCAAATCTATAGAGAACAAACCATATGACGTAATTTTGGAGGCCAACCCGGAAGTAGCGTGACATGACATCATGGGGTCGAATGAGAATTCGCCTATGGGATTTTGGATCGTTGCAGAAAATAAACTCTGTGGCAAACGCATGTTTCTGAATTGTAGGCATTTTGTTCAGCAGGATAATCTTCACAGATTAACACAATTTTCATGATGTTTGAAGCGTTAATGCGGCCAACAGAAATAAAAAGCTAACATTATGCTGCAAGTGAACTACGCCACGGTCGGATGATTGTGATGTCACTAGCGTTATGCTTCAGACGACCTTCGATAAACTAATCCGCGTAGCTTAATAAATTGTTTACTAAACTGATATTTGCCTTAACCTAAAGATTAAACCGACATGAGAGGTACTAGTGAGAGAGTTCCCGGCCTCTGTGTCCGGCGTGATGACGTTTAATGTCCCCGACAACCACTGTAGTCACATTTAGCCACTTGCTAGCAACCGCCTATTTAAAGACGCGTAAAAACTGCGGGTATTACCTAACGTAGTTCATGTGGTCTAACAAAACGCCAACATCTCTTAAGTTTGTGTTAACCACAGACCTTATTTCAGGCGTCTAACCACAAACCCATTCAAAATCCCCATTGACTTTTAGACGTTAGACGCCATGGCGCTCAAATGCTCACTTACTTTTAGGACTTTTAAAAGTGTTTTAGGGTTTTAGGACTCATTCCTGTGGCGCTTTATAAAAGGGAGTTTTTAGAAGCGATGTAAAAGATGTCACTGAATCTGCTCTCATGCTTGCACCTATTCATAGTTTTGGACCAGGATTTAGCTCTTAAGCTGCACTATCCTGACAAGGTAGTCTTCAGCTACGTCTGTCTGCTCTTGCATGCTATACAGATAGTGTACACTGTTTTCAGAAGCATTTTTTCACTTATTTCTACAGCAGATATAAACATGCTTACAGCCTGGTTAGAAAGGCAAATTTGGTATCAGTAGCTAAGGTATTTATTGGTACACACTTTAAAAGGAGGGACTTGTTTTACAAGTGATCAGTTTTTATTTTAAGAGTTTAGGGATGTGGCTGATTTGACAGGTGGGTGTGTTGCAGATTTTTGCCAGGAGGCTACAGGCCCGTCTCAGCTCCAAGTCTTTGACTGTTATTAGATTTACCAGATGTTAGGTTAAGGCAGCATTTCCAATGTCCTGACAGCCGTCATTGGACTCCAAAACTCAGCTTCAGAATCCAATAGGTGGCAAGACTTAGACTACATCCATTTGTTTTAAAACGCGCTATGGTTAGGACTGAGACGAACCACGAATGTAGAGCAGGGTTCAGGCAGGTTCACACAATTTAAACATAAACTGAGTCAATGAAGCGAGAAGACTTAATGAGCTGACAGCAGAGTATCTTTGGACTTGAGATTAAAGAGTAACTAAACCACCAGACCACTTGTTTCAGCTAAAAAAAAAACCTTAGTATATGGGTATTAAGGAGTGTTGTTGATCGAGTCGGGTCCAAAGCTTGACATTTGAGTACAAAGTTTTTAAACCTGACATATTGTGTTAGAAATATGAAAAACAACTACCCTCTACAGGTTGAAACCCTGTCATCATCATCCGACTCAGCAAACTGTGGGGAGTAAAGTGGATTGAGAGAATTGATTATCGCTGAAATCAAAGTGGTTTGCCGTGAAATATGGTGAGTATAAAGTGCAAAAACTGTTTAAAAATGTTAAAAGCCATAACATTCAAATCCCCAAGGAGGGGGGGGGGGCACCATTCAAAGACGACCCCCATGCTCGATGCGTCTCTAGTCCTTGGCATCGGCTTTCTCAGAACTCGCTGTCTTTGCTAACGGTTCAAACGGATGCTGATCTGGACCGCGGTGGTCGTGGCCTGCAGGAGTCTGTGTTAGCTGGGATTAAAAAAAGTGTTTGACGTGAGCATTAACAACGATCACCCCCGACTTTTATAATGAATTTGTTTTCTGATTCCGGCAGATCCAGTCTAACGTAATGTATGACATTGAGAGCAAATGTCTGATCAGTGAGAAAGAAAAAAAGGGAACTGTAAACAAAACGACTGATGATAAAAAAAAAGTAAAAGGTTTACGATTACACAAATATTTAATTGCAAGTAATATGTTTTCTTGTAAGAGGACTTTTTTTTTTTTGCTTGAGTGAGATTATATCTCTCTCAATGTCTTATTTTTGTTTGCAATTTGAGATGTTTTGTGTTGATTTTTTTGGCACAAATATGATTCCGTATCGCAGAAGTGTCATTGCTGCTCACAAGTCGTCGCTCATGGCTGAAACTCTGGGGTTTAGATAGACTTTGAAATACATCAAAACAAGTAAGAGCAGCTGTGAGTAATAAAGACAACACAAGGATGCTGTAACTGATACAATAATCTGAGACCCAGGAGTGATCATTCAGCACACTGAGACCAGACAACACATTATTCAAACAATACATCGCAGGCTTACATAACATCATCTGTAAATGACATGATTTGGCATTTTGGATAACTACAATACGACCTCTGACACAATTAGTTTGAAAATCGCAGCACTCGTCGACTTCACAGAATGTCCTCACACTAACAAGACATGTATCAGCTGACATTTTGATCAGGTCGTGCTCCAAGCAGTCACACAATCAGCTGTACACACTGAGCAGTGACACTACGATGCAGCTAGTGTAACACTCTATTCCTTACTTAGACACAAATCAAAGCTGAGGTCAATTTAATATCCTATCAAAAGGAACATTCAGTACCGTGTCTCAGGGATACAACATTACTCATGTCGTGTATTTGTCTTTGTGTTTTGATGCACATGCTGTAGTTCACCTCACTAATGCTTGGTCAATTGAAACAGGATACAGAATGTGACTTTATCTCTCTGATGGTTATGTGTCAAACAGAGGCGTTATGTCATGACCTCGATCAGAACATACGGACGTATGTTCATGTGAGTGCCGCATGCAAAAAGCCTCCTTTCATATACTGTAGGTGTGCTCTGTCTCCCCGTCTTTGTTAACACAATATCTGATGTGATGGAAATAATCACTCTGATTACAGACCTGAGTGAAAAGTGCTGCATCTGGGGTTTGCAGTTTTGGACTAAATGATTAAATGTACCCGTGAAAGAGAACAAAATAAACACATGTATTTGTCCTTTCTTTCTGCTCAAGTTTGGAGCAGAATTTAAGATGATTGCAATCTCGAGCACTGAAACATCGCTCAAATTACTCTGAGTGTTGCATAACACAAGATGGAAAATGAAGAAACCTGTCAAGAGTTTTAATCATTAACTGACTGACAGCTGTAAAAGATGAAAAAAAAAACATGCTTAGATTATACACAACAGAAAGACATGCTACACACACACATACGCCTGATATACACACATGCACAAACTGGACTTCTGGACATGCTTAAACCTGGACAGATGTCAGAGAGAGGGTGCTCCGTATACCTGTGTTTACCCCGCATTACAGCACTGCTAACCATCAACCATGCAAGATGATAACAGACTTTGTCTCATCATCATAAGTGTGTGTGTGTGTGTGTGTGTGTGCCTACTATTTGTCATCATTCAAATGAAGAAATATAAGGAAGTGAACAAGCATCGAATCATTTGTTTTGCCTTTATTCTGCTAGTTCAGTGGATTTGCGCCGATGATGCTACATCACATAGTCTGAAAATAAACCCTTAACCTGATTGTGTAGATGTGTGTTTGTGGGTGACTTTGTGACATTGTGTGTTTTTGGTCCGAGGGCAAGGTCAGGGAAAAGTGTGTGACTCATTCTGCAGTAAGGAGCCCTCACAGCGCAGTGATGAGGCCCTTACTTTAGACCGGCTCGGCGGAATCTGGACTCTGGTTTTGTGCTGAGTGAAAAATAGAATCTGACAAAGAGACAGGAAAATCATATTTGTACAGCTTTATAGAGACGGCTTATTGTCTGCTCTATTTAAAGCAGATGAGACCGTTCCCTCTGAAAAACAAAACAGTGTACTTACATTTGTTAGAGAGAAGATGTTCAAAGGACTCGGACCATCGAACAACCTCGTCTGTAGACAGCCTGATGGAGAGAGAGCCAAAGGAAACTGCTTGAGTAAGATGCAAACCAGCCGCTGTGGGTTCATGCATTTTTAACACAAGATGATGCTGCATGTATTATTGAAGGGCAGCTCCTGATTTCTCCTCTGCTCACAGCTGCCACTCTGCACAAGACTGTGAAGGAGGAAGAAGAGGGAGATAGAAGAAGGGGAGCAACAGCAGCTGCTTGTTCATATTTTAATGAAGTGTTGGACCCATGATGGGAATCTTGGAGGTCAAGAGGGATGCTTTAATATCATGCACTCTGTTATATGGAGCATTAGTGTGTTTGTGTAACACTCTCTTGTGAACATAAAGGATCAGTAAATAGCCCTTTTTCTTATGCAGATCTCCTGCAATAACGCCATAAAGAAGGGGCCTCTGATTAATATTTTTACCCTGTACCAAACAAAGCAGGCATGTTTGATCCCTGGTGTTTCATTGTGGAAAGCTTTATAAAGGTTTCAAAGGAGGCAAATTGATAAAGTGTGATGACAGTTCAGACCAAAGAATCAATTGGGGACAAAAGTGATTTTTAAACATGTCATGAAAAATAGCATCGCTATCACCTGACCTTTCTCAGCTAAGCAAATCGCCATGTCTGTTTAGGTACATAGGTAATATCCTCTGTTTTAACAGCTAACCTTCTCATACCCAAGTCAGTAAGCCAGCTATTTGGATTCTTCTATGTCAAAGTTTTGAACAAAGGAAATACAGAATTATTTATTATAAGAGCCCATTTTTTTTCAGGACAGATGTCTTTAGACTTTTTGCCTGATGAAGGTCTTTTACCGAAACATTGCCAATAAATGTTTTTTTTTGTACGTTAGACAGTGTGCATACCTCTAAGTTGTTGATGTACACATTGCTCTTCTACGCACCTGTCTTATGAAATGTGCAACGTTTTTTTTCTATGAGGACAGATGTCTTTAACACGAGTATAAAGGCTCAGATTGTTTTCAAAAACATGCATCGCTCCTCTCTTCCATTCTTCTTGCTCCCTGATTATCACGGACATGCTTCAGTGTCTCAGTCTGTGGTGGCTGTAGCTCAACCCCAGCTGATCCGGGCTCTCGTCTGTGTGCAGCCCCTCTACTCTGACATCTCTCCACTAATGCTCGTCCAAAAGATCACGTTTGTGCATGGGTGAATTCCTGGCCTGTATGAATGTAGCATGTTGAAAAAAATTATCTTCTGGGATTAATAATGTACAGTATGTCTTCTTCTTCTATACCTATCGACAGATGCAATACAACATTGTCCACCAATACCGTCTTTGTACTTTTAATGATGAAGCTACTAAAAAAGTCGAGATTGCCTTGAACATGCTGTATTGTAGCGACTGATGTATCTTTCAGATTTCAGGCATGTATTTTAAAATCAGCCTTTTGAACATGATATGAAATACATTTCAAAACTTACTGGGTGACTCTGCTATCAATACTTGCAATGGCTTTCAGAAAGAGGGAGGACATTTTTTCCTTGAATATTTTCACATTTACCACTTTATCGTAATTAGGTTTGTCAAATGATCAAAAGTTCAATCGCAATTAAAAAGAAGAAGTTTTTACCCCAAGTTTGCATCTCAAAACTGTTTTTTGTTCTGATTTTATTTTGAATTGTTGTACTGTCTTAACCAAAAACAACTTTACTTCCTGTTTTGGTACAAACCAGCTTTTATTTTGATAGGGAAATTCTGTAGGATCGAAAGTTTCAATATTAACTTAACTACATAATAACAAACTCGTGACGTATTGAAAAGTAAATGAAAACGGCCAAAGACGACAGTAAAAAAGTGACATGTTTGATGTCATGAGGTGGATATCACTTTTGACTCGTCAACTTAGCTGTGTGAGAGTTTTTCAAAGTAAAATGAGCCATTTAAAGGTGCAGTGTTGTCTTTTCATTTCATGTCGTTCATTTCCATCACTGTGCTTATAGGGAGACGCTGCGGTTGGTCATCTAGCTAAGCTACGGTGCGACTAAAGGGACAAAATATCATGCAATAAAAAATAATTTTGGGCCTTAATCCCATCAAGATTAACGCGTTCATGCTTACAGCCCTGACTGGAATGCAAAGCATGACTTAAAATGATAAGAAGGCATGGGCAACCCTCATGATTTATCTTGCTTGCACATTTCTTTGAGTTTCAAATAACAGAGTACTCGCAGCAGAATATCTGCTAATCTGTTAGTCAAATGTTTCTCTGCAGTACAAGCTGATATTTTCAAGGGCTTTGTTGACTCACTATGTTCTCTTACGCAGACCAAAACGAAGTTCATAAAGAAAAGATTACTATGCAAATATTTGGTCGAATTAAAAAAGCAGCATTGGGCAAATGGCTACAGGAGTGCAATACATTACACTGAATATCCCAGATAAACACTAAAGAACTTTAAAGTCCCTGACAGCGTTCCATTCAAATGTTATACAATTGTTAGTTTTATTTAACTTTCAAACTTTGGTGGCCAATGCTAGCATCCAGAGAGTTACTTAACACCACAGAAGCCTGTGTAACAATTTGTTCAAACTTTGCAGTCCAACAGGATTAGATAAAGGATCTTTGGCAGACTCACTTCAGACACCTGGCCGTGGTTTCGTGGGCAGGAGGAAGGAACTCAGAGAAGTCGCTGTAGGAGTCAGACTTGTGTGAGAGGCAGCCTAGTCTGGTCTTCATGGTGCTGATCCTGCAAGGAGACAATGCACAATACTCATTTTTTTCCCCTTCCAAACTATATACCTCAGCATACAGCTAAAGTCTTAGAACAAAGAAAGAGAATCCTGTGATGTGTGCAGTGTTTGCAGATGATGACTCATGGGTGTGTTTGTCACTTTAAATAGCATCAGCCAGCACCAGGATTATACACATGGAAATTGCAATGCAAACAGAGCTGAGAAAACATTGCCTTCATGTTTTGGCGCTGCATGAATCGGAAACTAAAGACCATTTATGTTCAGTCACATGCCCTGGATTAAAGTCTGCCAGGTATACTCTTCTAGTTGTTGTTAAGGTGGCTATTTATAATGTTTGATGCAGTTGGGGCAGCCTCTTTAGATTTATTTATGTAAGCGATGCAAAAGTTCTTAAATGTTGTTAGGAAACCTGATGAATACACCTGCTGAAAGAAGCAAGATGAAGAGCGATACGGCGATCTGACTGGACTGGATGTAGACAGCAGGTGCAACTCCATATGCAAAAAGCTGATTCAGTACAGCTCTGCCTCATTCAAAAGGGAGCTTCAGAAATCTGTGGTGTCCAATTTCACATCCTGATATGGCTTCTTATCGGGACAAATTGTGTTTGTAGCAGAAGAAAGTTTGTGTGTAGTCTACAGAATTTGGGAAACCTCCCCCGCAACATTTTGCGACTGTAGGTGAGTGCTGCTGAAGCTGAGATACAAAGAGAGAAATGTCTCTATGATTTCCCATGCAGACTCTAGCTTGAATTTTGTATGCAACTGTGTGCACTGTCTTAATTATTTGGATGTTGAATATGTTCCACATTAATGCTTATTATAGGTCATGGAATTGATTTTTCCATGCATGGCCAGCCGAATCATCGATTATGAACAGAAAAAATAAAAAAAGCTACAAACTCGAGGGATTTATTCAGTTGTTGGGTGGGAAAAATTTTGCCCATTTACATCTCTTGAGAACATGGTGTAATGTGTCTGAGTCCATTTATTCATTAAACCCTCATACAAGGTTAAAACAAGGCTCTGTGTGGTCTGCTTTAAAGGGAATCTCACAACCAAATGTCCATTGTCCTTTTAGCAACGCTGCATGGACATGAAGCTTGCTTGGGTGTGGTTTATATTTATCTCGATTTAACCAGGTTATCAAGTTGAGATCAAGGTCTTCATTGCCCCGGGGGCAGGGAGAGACATTGCAAGAGGAAACAATACAGACATAGACAGAGATAACAAAAAGCAAAACCACAATGAGATGCATTATGAGACAACAGCACCGCCGGGGGTCGCTGGTTACCTGGAAACCCCCCAGTGGGTAAAATTGGAGTTATTAGAGTGCATTGGTTTTCAAGGTACATGGTCACTTGTCAACAGGTAAATCAGGCAACTGCTTGGGGGCCCCAGGCCACTTAGGGGCCCCTGAGGGCTGAAAAACTTAAAACCATAGCAGGAGCTCAAAATGTGCAAATTTTGCATCGACAGTAGGACACCTCCCTAATGGGGCCCCATCTGATAGTACTCACTGCCATTGCCCTGCTAAGCATCTCATGTATCACTCCTGTGAAAAACAACGTTTAGTCGATAAAAAGCACGAAGGAAAGTTAAGAGGAAATGTCTGTTTGTGGGTATGTGAATTATTTTTTATAACACCATGTAACTAACAGAACATTAATCTAGGAGTATGACATACAACCTCCAAAAGTAACCAATCACTAAAATAATAAGATATTAAGGATAACAAATCACAAACCATGATTGTATTTCCTAACCTGACAACCTGTCGATTGTAGTTGCATTCCAGAACTCTTAAAATAATATTATCAGCAAGAAATATTTTGAAATCCAACTGGATTTTTATTAATTTACTAACCACACGTTGTAATTAAGGGCTGTAAAATTATTAAAATGTTTTTAATAATATTTGGAAGTAATATTTTCCATTACTTTGAATTTCAACAAACGTTTTTCTAAAATATTTCTTTTGTCTTAATCTAAGGGCACTTCACTTCCTGTTTTGATACAACCACACTTTTATTTTTAAAGTAAATAAGACATTTGTAGTAGAGTGAAGGCTACAACATCAACGTAACCACAGGGAAAAAGGAACTTGTTACTGATTGAAAACAGCTAAAGAGGACAGTTTAAAAAGTGACATGTTTGATGTCATGAGACTCGTGAGCTGAGCGGTCTGAGAGTTTTTCAAAGTGACGTGTCAAAGGAGCAGTGGTGATGTTCTTTGTGTTAGTGTCTTAGCTATGGTGCGCCTAAAGGGACAATCTGTCATGGCATTTAAAAAAACACTGACAGCCATTGTTGTGATTATTATTTCTAGCTTGATTGCAGAACCCTGCATGCGCACAAGTGATGTCCAGATATATTTTGAAGCATAGGGCCATTGGATTGAGAAAGTCTTTGATATTTGCCACTTCTAATGACGCTGAAAGCACGGAGATCAGCTGCATCAAATGGCTCTTAAGGTCAGACTGGCAGAATAAAGAATAAAGGATTTGCTGTCCTTCATACTGAAACATATTTCCCTCTGATGCAAGAAACCAATTTGTGGTTATATGTTTTGTGACGAATGTGTTATGTAAAATCTGCAGTGTAATCGAGAGGATTACTTTTAAAGAAAACATCTTTCTTCCCAATCATCCACTCTTCCAATCATTCACCTTAAAAAAAGATGTTATTTCATAAGAATCCAAAAGAATCCATTTTCCTTCACTTTGCATGGTATCAGTACTAGCTTGAAGCGGTGGATGGTTTGGATGCTTGGACCTTGAATTGGGAACATTGCAATGAAATGTTCTCTTTATTAACAATGTGAAAGCCATTTGCAGGAATTAATGGGCTACAGCTGCTGCATGAATGCCAAGGCTCTTTAAAAATGTCCCTTCCTGTCGTCCATTAGTGGTTGTTTTCAAGTATTGTATAAATGTGTTTGTGTGTGTGTGTGTGTATCAGGGACAGGATGTGCATTGTTGTTTTCCATTTGACTAATGTATCAAGTTTCTGAAAATCTAATTGCATTTTGCTTGCAGTCAAACTTTGTGTCTGGGGGCAAATAAGAGCTTTTGCATTTGATAACTCCTTTGTGAGAACACGAGTGGAGGGGCGACATCAAAAAGTTGCACATTCTTCCTTCAAAGAACATTTTTTGGAGGGTGGGGTTGGGTTGGAGAGTAACTCGCAATCATTTTCTTCCACTATATTCCCACCTCAGAAATGTCCGATGCAAAACACTGACGTTTTTTGCAGCTTGTTTCCGGGTGCGCTGTAGATATGATGCTCGCCTGCCCTTGAGACTCCTATGTTATGCATCAGATGTTTTATAAAAGGCATCAGAAGCACTGAACTGGAAAGGTAGTTTGCATGTCGTCTATGTGAGTCATCATCTGAAGGAGCGCTTCATTTGTTGATGCATGTTTATTTTCAGAGGGGATGCAAAAATAATGAGGTGAGATATTTTAAGAACAGCCATAAACAGACTGGATTTAGTACACTGGAGCAGGTCAGGCTTTTTCATCACATTTCTCCATAGGCTTGTGGAAGGATTTCAAAGAGTGTGGTCAGGATAACTTTTTTTTTTTTCACATGGAACGCAGAATAACATCATCACATGAGAGCAGCATAACATGATTATTTTTTAATAGGAAAGCGGGAAGGCAAAAACATGTAAAACGAAGAAGGAAATGAACTTAAAAAGTCAGAGAACACAACATTCTAAACGGTTCTTTCTCTCAGGAGCATGCATACGTTTATGCTTATAAAACTCACATGGCGACTTTAAGATTGTGCAACATAGTGAGTGCAAGTGATATTTTGGTGAAAAGGTCATCGCTAGAGAAAATGTCAGGGGGTAACTAAATCGGTTTCATGCATCCTTTTAAAAGCTATTTTTTTTCCCCCATCATATTTCATGGCCTTGGTCATTTGTAAAGTCTAAAGTGGAATGACTGGCTATGGGATGGAGAGAAGATCCCAAACTTCACATAGGTATTTTACAAAGTCAAGAACATTAGTAAACAGCTCAGAAGCAGATTATAAGAAGCCCTTGAGCCACTGAGGAAAACTTCAATTTAACTTCAGATTGGTCAGAAAGCTCCAGAAAAAAAAAATGTTGAAAAATGTTTTTTGTCAATTATTATTCATTCTCTGAATCTGATGAATATCCATTATGTTCTCTTTCCTAAATCGGTCAATGTCAAGGCTTGGTCAGCATCCTTTCACTTTAAATATAAAGCTCTTGGTATCTTTTTTGCATCACTTTGCATGTGCAGACTTTCAAAATAAAGTAGATAAGTTAGAGGAAGTAAATCAGCAACATTTGGTCAAATAGCACCTCAACTAAAAAAGGGCAGGCTAATGTTAGCACGCTTTGGTTAACTCATAGCTTCACATTAAACATATATTGACACAGAATGGCCGTGATCCAGCTGGCAGGACTCAAGCTTTTCACTTTTCATTATAGAGAGTCATGACTCAGAGAGACATTTACACAGGATATACTTGATTTCTGCTTTATTTATTTATTTATTTGTGTAAAATGTTGCACATGTTTCCTTTAAGGAAGTACTAAGTGATGAAAGTTACATAAATAGCTAATGCATCCATACCGCTCAACCAGCACAACAAGTTGACTTTCCCTTTCACCCTTTAAGTGCTTACATTATGTAGAAAACACACAACTAGATTATAATAGAAAGCACAAGTAACTGAGACATGACTGTATGTGCGTATGATATCAGTGTCAGACGGAAATTAAATGTAACATGGAATATTAGAAAATTAAAACACTGACATATTGGGCTGTAGCTTTGAGACACCATTGGAAGTGGAAGCATGCTTTAAAAAATTACATATGGTTGAATCAGTATGTGTGTCTGTTTAGTTGCTGTCAAAAGCATCACAGCAGACTTCGCCCTCCCCCCTATTCTGTCTCCTCTCTCCTCACTTCTACGCCTCTGTTTTGACAAATCTGGATCTCTCTGGCTTTG